TGCAGATCTCACACTTCTTATTTAAAAACCTTTATATTCGTAAGAGATTTCAGGTTGTGGACGTCGGGAGTTGGATTCAGAACCAGCGTTTATTCGACTCTGTCGTGTTCAACCTCTAAATTCTTCCTCCTGCTTTTATTCCATTTCTCTTTTTTCCTTTTCAAAGCAACTCCGAGTTTTGCACGATGTATAATAAAATGTGTAGAGGAGGAGAAGTGTTAATGGAGGGTGATAATGTTGGAGGTCCTGCAGATGACGTCTGAGTCCTGCTGGTGGATGAACGCTTTTATTGTGACGCCGAGGTCGACTCACACCTGAGCTTCACATTTCTTCGGTAAATTCTTTTGATGAAAAACGTTGAGAGACGAACACAATGTCAGGATGTGTGAAAGGACTGAAGGTTCACCGGCCCAAGGATTTACAGTAATTGTGTTCGAACTGAAAACTTCCATACTTCAATATTCAACCGTCGAAATTGAGAAAGATCAGCGTAATATCTGGAAACGTCCCAGCTGCCTCTAATTTGTAATGAGAATTTATTAAATTATCATATGCAGGAACATACACTTGGTAGTATTTTTATTTCTGTGTCATTATGTCCAATGAGTATTTAAGTTGCTGAACTCAGTGTAAGTTGAATTTCAACTGTAACTTGAATTGAAGGTTTAGCTTTGTTTCTTATTTCATCACCTGAGCGTAAAGATCGTTCTACACATATTTTCTGTCGAAGGTTCACGTGTGCTTGTGTGTTTACCTCGTTCAGTTCTTTCTCGGTGTTCAGGAACTCTGTGACTCCACTGATGAGATTCGAATTCATGAACAACGCTTCACCGTAACTGAACACAAACATTCACATGGAGGATTAGACTTTGTCTTTCGTTTTCTCCGCAGGTCAAACAAACACCAGTCCTCTGATGGACTCTCACCGAGCGTTCAGGACGTCCCACTTTTCTCTGAAGTACTTCCAGGCCAGGTTTCGACCCTGAGGGTTTCTGCCCACGTGGATGATGACGTCGATCACGTCCTGCTCCGGCACCAGGTCGGAGGTCAGAGACAGGTTCAGTAACCTGCGAGAGACGGAGACGGGAGGTTAAAGGTGCTTGTGTACTTGTGTACAATGTAGGGATGCTAGTTTTACTGTGCTCGATCATTAGCGTGAGCTATTTTATATTATTATACGTGGAAACCTTTAAGAATACCAAGAAGAAACAAACAAACATTTACTTGACTCATTTTAGCTTCGCATTTACTTGATAAATCAATACTCATAAATTTGATAAGCTAATTTTATTCAGATACAGACACACAGAGTAATCTGATTACTCGCAGCAGGTCTGGGATCGAGGGAACTGGGAATTCTAGAAACCCGGTGATCACACAGAGCGTTTCTCTGCAGAATCCCGATAATTCCGACGTGTAAACACATTAATCCAAGTTTCTAAAGAGTGTTTTAAGATGAGAGGCTGAAAAAGACAAAGAGACAGAAGAAAGACCTTCAGAAATAACTGATGTCCACTCATCCACATGCTGTTCACAGTTTACCTTCATCCGTCTTTTGTATTTTTCTGTCACTCTACTCTGTATTGTACTTTGTGTGTGTGTGTGTGTGTGTGTGT